AAAAAAAAAAAAAGGCCAATTATAACATAATAGTAATGACACGGTAGAAAACACATTAAAAACATTATCAAAGCAAAATAACGTTACCTGTTATCTCGCAGTCTTTGCCGAAGATGCTACGAGAAATTAAAAAAAAAAATAAATAAAAAAGGAAACGTTACACACCAAACACACTTTTAAACATGGAAAACGAACTTTTAAAAAATCCTGTTGCTTCGATTCCCACAGCAACAAAATCATGCAAAAAAAATCAAAACAATACAGAAGGAAAAACACGTAAAAAAATGAAAACAACAATACAGAAGGAAAACACGAAACCAACAAGCCATGCTCCGAATCCTCCCTGGGTGCCCGGATGTGCTCTGCGTGAAAGGGCGATCTCGAAGTTTTACATCATGGGAAATACACCCTTATGACCTGTATTAGCATATTCAAAGAGTATATGCGGTAGACTAACCGTGTTCGAGTCTGGTATATCAATTGTGTGCATGTGGTTCGCGTCAGAGGTTCTATTCCCGGGGCGCAGCGGGTTATGATAAACTTGATGCGCGATAAGCTGGCATGATTATCTGTGATCTGGGCATTCATGAACTCTGCACCGATGGCAGTGCTTTGCCGTGTGTGCGTGTGTGGTGTGTGTGTGTGTGGTGTGTGTGTGGTGTGTGTGTGTGTGTGTGTGTGTGTGTGTGTGTGTGTGTGTTGTGTGTGTGTGTGTGTGTGTGTGTGTGTGTGTGTGTGTGTGTGTGTGTGTGTGTGTGTGTGTGTGTGTGTGTGTGTGTGTGTGTGTGTGTGTGTGTGTGTGTGTGTGTGTGTGTGTGCGTGTGTGCGGGTGCGGTGTGTGTGTGTGTTGTGTGTGTGTTGTGTGTGTGTGTGTGTGTGTGTGTGTGTGTGTGTGTGTGTGTGTTGTGTGTTTGTGTGTGTGTGTGGTGTGCGTGTGGTGTGCGTGTGCGTGCGTGGCGTGTGCGTGTGCGTGGTGCGTGTGCGTGTGCGTGTGCGTGTGCGTGTGCGTGTGCGTGTGTGTGTGTGTGTGTGTGTGTGCGTGTGTGTTATTGCTTTTGACTCTGAACCTGCTGTGGTTGACCTGCATTGGTGCCCCTCAGCGCCACACGAGGCAGCACGAATGGGTGTATTTCCCAGAGCAATACTTTTTATCCTCTGAACGCAACTAAGATATCTATAATAAAAATGTAATGATAATGGTAACCATAATCATAATGATGATAATCATAATGATCATTGTATGGATAATTATCTCTAAAAAAATAATGATAATGATGACGATCATCATTATCATCACTATAACAAAAAAAAATCATGATTATCAGGAATACCGAAGTGATAATGATATTACTAAAAATGATGATGATGAAGATAAGAATAAGAATAACGGTAATAATAATAATATCAACAATTATGAAAACAATGGAATTTATAATCTCTAAAATCATAATATTTATGATAATGTCAATTATACTAATGATGATGATAATAACAATAACAATAATGATAAATAAAAATCATGATAACTACTGCCATTACTAGTAACACTATTACAACTACTGTAATAATGATAATAATAATGATAATAATAACTACAACATAGTGATAACTACTGTTACTAGTACTACCACTGATAACAGTGATAATAAGAAGAATAGCAATAATAACAATGACATCATCATCGTTATTGTTGTTTTTATTATTATTATCATAATTATTATCATCATTATTATCATTATTATTATTATTATCATTATTATCATATATATTATTATTTATATTATTATTATTATTATTATTATTATTATTATTATTATTATTAATATTATTATTATTTATTATCATTATTATTATTATCATTATTATTAATACTGTTATTATGATCACTATAATTATTATTACCATTATCATTATTATTATTATATCATCATCATCATCATCATCATTATTATTATTATTATTATTATTATTATTATTATTATTATTATTATTATTATTATTATTATTATTATTATTATTATTATTATTATCATTGTATTATCATTATCATTATCATTATTATCATCATATTTATTATTATTATTATTATTATTATTATTATTATTATCATTATTATTATTTATTATTATTATTATCATTATTATCATTATTATCATTATTTATTATTAGTTAGTAGTAGTAGTATAGTATTAGTATTATTATCATTATCATTATTATTATTATTATTATTATTATTATTATTATTATTATTATTATTATTATCAATTATATTATTATTTATTATTATTATCATTATTATTATCCTGATTATCATCATCATCATCATCATCATCATCATCATCATCATCATATTACTATTACCATTGTCATTATCATCATTACTATCATCATCATCAATATCACTGTCATTATCATTATCACTATCATTACTATCATTATAATAATAAAGATATCCTCAGTATTATTAATTAGGTTAATAATGAAAACAATAATAATGATAATGATAACAATTAATAATAATAATTAATAATAATAATAATAATAATAATAATAATATATAATAAATAATAATAATAATAATAATAATAAATAATAATAATAATAATAATAATATAAATAATAATAATAATAATAATAATTAATAATAATAATAATAATAATAATAAAATAATAATAACAATAACAATAACAATAACAATAACAATAACAATAACAATAATAATAATAATATAATAATGACAACAGCAAAAATAATAAATACCAATAATAATAACGATAACAATAATAATAATATAATAATAATAATAATAATAATAACAATATAATAATAATAATAATAATAATAATAATAATAATAATAATAATAATAATAATAATAATAATAATAATAATAATGCTGATGGTGATGTTAATAAGATTGATAATAACGATAATAAACATAACGATAACAGTAAAAGTAAAAGTGATAATCAATATTTTTGCAACAAAATAACAACTGTAGCAATATCAAAGATACGAATAACTTGACACCATCATCAGATAAACAAATATACTAAAATGAATATACATAAAATAAATAAATATACAGGTGAAATAGATAATACAGGTGAATAAATGAAAGCCACGATAAAGAAATACTCAGCAGACTTCGCAGTTTTCCCTGAAGACAAAACGACTGCAAAAAAAGAGGAAAAGTTGCAGACATGCTCATTCACACTCATTCTCATTTCATTCTCATTTCATTCTCATTTCATTCTCCACCCCAGACGACGCCCATGCTCTTCATATCTAGTGCTTTCTTGCCTTGCCTGCTTGTGAGGGGGTGTTACATAGCTCTTTGACGTAGCTTCGAAGCAAATAATTATAAAGTTTGTTTGTTTTCCTGTTTGTCTTGTCTCTTTGATTCTTATTTCAAAACACCCATAGTATGACCTTTTGTGGGTGGAGACAAGGCGCCCACGTCCGCCCACGGTAAAGCGGCGGCGCGAGGGATGGGTGGGGGCGGCAGTGGTGTTGCAGAATGCACTGGCCGCACTCGCTGCAACAACGCACTGGAGCAAGACATGCAAGAGCTAGGAGAAGAGATAGGAGGAGACGAGGGAGAAGGAAAGCAAGAGAGAGAGAGAGAGAGAGAGAGAGAGAGAGAGAGAGAGAAGAGCGAGAGAGAGAGAGAGTAAGAAGAGAGGAGAGAGAGAAGGAGAGAGAGAGAGAGAGGGAAGAGAGAGAGAGAGAGAGAGAGAGAGAGAGAGAGAGAGAGAGAGAGAGAGAGAGAGAGAGAGAGAGAGAGAGAGAGAGAGAGAGAGAGAGAGAGAGAGAGAGAGAGAGAGAGAAGAGAGAGAGAGAGAGAGAGAGAGAGTGAGGGTGAGAGTGCGGAGAGGGAGGAGAGAGAGACGAGGAGGAGAGGAGAAGAGGAGGGAGGAGGGAGATAGAGAGATAGAGAGAGAGAGAGGAGCGAGAGAGAGAGAGAGAGAGAGAGAGAGAGAGAGAGAGAGAGAGAGAGGAAGAGAGAGAGAGAGAGAGAGAGAGAGAGAGAGAGAGAGAGAAGAGAGAGAGGGAGAGTGAGGGTGAGAGAGAGTGAGAAAAGAAAGGGAGATGTAGAGTTAGAGAGAGAGAGAATGAGGGAGAAAGGGAGAGGAAGTTAGAGAGCGAGGAGAGGGGAAGAGAGGAGGGAGGGAGGGAGAAATAGATAGATAGAGAGAGAGAGAGAGGGAGAGAGGGAGGAGAGAGGAAGAGAGAGAAGAGAGAGAGGAGAGGGAGAGAGAGAGAGAGAGAGAGAGAGAGAGAGAGAGAGAGAGAGAGAGAGAGAGAGAGAGAGAAGAGAGAGAGAGAGAGAGAGAGACAGAGAGAGAGAGAGAGAGAGAGAAAGGCAGAGACAAAGACAGAGAGACAGACAGACAGACCGACAGAGATCCCGACGATCAGACAGACAGAAAGCCAGTAGCCACAGACAGAGACAGACATATGAAGGCTATGAAGTTAACAAAAGGAAGTGAAAGCGAGGGAAATATATAAGAGAAGGAGACAGAGCGAAAGAGAAGAGGAACGAAACATATTTTTTAAAACAAAGATCTAGTCAAGTCTCTGTGACTGGCAGCATTAAAAAATGTCTCTCGGTGTGTATTGGAGAGACAAAAAAACGCATATCAAAAAATCAACATTACTGGCAGACAGCTGAGAGAGGCAGTATCAGTGGTGGTGCGTAACAAACAAAAAAACAAAAACAAAAAAAAACGTTTTAAAACAAGTGCTCTCAAAAAAAAATGGCAGGTGAATTAGAGTTCTTGAAAAAAAAAAAAATAACAAAAGACAAAAAAAAACAAAAAACAAAAGGAAGTGCTTTGTGATGATGGGTGTTGAGGACAAGAGGGAGGGGCGACACACACGACGCACGGACGCACTGGGACCGTATCTGGGCGGAAGGAACTTGGGGAGCGCCGTCGAGAGGGACAGCAGGGTTTCGAACGCCTGTACACCTTGCTGCGCCGCCGCGTTCCACTTGC